CTATTTCTCGGCGTAGTGTGTTCCTTGGCCTTCCTCTTTTCCTTTTGCCTTGAGGGTTCCATGTGAGGGCTTGTCTAGTGACGCAGTTGGGTGCTTTTCGTAGTGTATGTCCTATCCATTTCCACCGCTTCTTCCTGATTTCCTCCTCCATTGGAATCTGACTTGTTCTCTCCCACAGTTCGTTGTTGCTGATGGTGTCTGGCCAACGAATCAGAAGTATTTTGCGTAGACAACTGTTAATAAACACTTGTATCCTCTGAATGATGGCTTTGGTAGTTCTCCATGTTTCCGCTCCATACAGTAGAACTGTCTTGACATTTGTATTGAAGATCATGATTTTGGTTTTGTTTGAAAGTTGTTTGGAGTTCCAGATATTTTTCAACTGTAGAAATGCAGCCCTTGCTTTGCCAATCCGCGCCCTCACATCTGCGTCCGATCCACCTTTCTCGTCGATGATGCTGCCAAGATATGTGAAGGTGTTAACGTCCTCCAAGGTATCTCCATCAAGCGTGATTCGGTTGGTGCATGTTGTGTTGCATCGGAGAATTTTGCTTTTACCTTTATGTATGTTGAGACCTACTGCTGCAGAGGCTGCTGCTACACTGGTCGTCTTCTCTTGCATTTGTTGTTGAGTGTGCGATAGAAGAGCCAGGTCATCTGCGAAGTCCAGATCGTCCAGCTGCGTCCTAACTGTCCAGTTGATACCGTGCTTCCCTCCAGATGTTGACGTCTTCACAATCCAGTCGATGACCAGGAGAAAGAGAAAGGGTGAGAGTAAGCAACCTTGCCTGACACCGGTCTTCACCTCAAAAGAGTCTGTCAGCTGACCTCCGTGTACGATTTTGCAGTTGAATCCATCATAAGAATTCCGTATGATGTTGACTATTTTCTCAGGCACACCGTAGTGTCGAAGAAGCCTCCACAGTGTTTCCCTATCCACGCTATCGAATGCTTTCTCGTAGTCGATGAAGTTGATGTAGAGTGGTGAATTCCATTCAATTGATTGTTCCACAATGATCCGTAATGTAGCAATTTGGTCAGTACACGATCGATCCTTACGAAATCCAGCCTGTTGATCTCGAAGTTGGGCGTCTACGAAGTCCTTCATTCTGTTTAACAATACTCTGTTGAAGACTTTGCCTGGTATTGAAAGAAGAGTGATGCCTCTGTAGTTTTCACACTTGCTGAGATCGCCTTTCTTCGGTACTTTGATCAGGTATCCTTCTTTCCAATCTGATGGTACTTGTTCCTCATCCCAAATCTTCTTGAAGAGAATGTGAAATATTTTCGCAGTTGCTTCCACATCTGCTTTCATTGCCTCTGCTGGAATGTTGTCTGGTCCTGCTGCTTTGCCGCTCTTGATTTGTCTGATGGCCATACTGATCTCCTCAATCGTAGGTGCGCCAATATTAATTGGGAGGTCCGTGGATGCTGCTTCGATGTTGGGTGGGTTCAGTGGAGCTGGTCGATTCAATAGTTCCTTAAAGTGCTCCACCCACCTATTTCGCTGTTCGTCAGTGTTGCTGATTATTTTCCCTTCCTTGCTTTTCACTGGTCGTTCTGGTTTACGATAGTCTCCGGCGAGCTTCTTTGTTTTGTGGTGCATATGTTGACATTTCAACTGGAAGATCTCAGTTTTAAACTGCGGAATACCTTCTTCAATTTGAGAAACCGAAGTGTAACTATAAACCTCATTGTATGGCTGAAAACCGAGTACATTTATCTAAATTTAGTCAAAAAGTTTCTTTTGGGCATTGTCTCTATTGTCTTCGGTTATGTTTTTTTAAATATAGATTATTATCAAGGATGATTGGATTAATACTTTCAGTTAACCTGTTTATGTTAGGTATTAAGTGTTAGTTGTATTTTATAAATAAGTAATTCACATGAACATGGTTCATTTTGAGCATCTACCCTATTGATTTATTTATCTTTTCTACTTGTGAACTACAAAATCAATAAAAATAACATTGGAATCCATTATTTATAAGTTGAAATGTCATTTAGAACGTGCTCATTCGTTGTGTTACACTAGGACTGTTCAATCAAAAGTCACTAACTTTCATTAACAGGACTTAGAATTTGTCTTTTCATGCCTTAAAAAAACGTCTAAAAACACAGTTTTTAGTATGTTTTGCGTGGATTATTTAGCTTTTTGTCTACCTTGATAATGTTTATCATGAAACAATGTTGTTTATATATAAATATGGACAAACTAAACTTATTAGTGATGAAACAACCAATTTTTTTGACATAGTGGTTTAGATTAGAGAACGTTACTGCTAGTATACAATTTTTGTGAATTGAAGCATAAAATCTTTTGGATTGATTGTTTTCTAATCGATTCAAATTCGCTTATTAGATCATAGCCAAGAGTACACTAGCATGACAAGGTTTGGTGTTTGGTGTTCCCACATATTGGTGAATGAGATATACGTAACAAATTTCATCTACATTTTGTTCTATCTAGGAACTCTGGGTGTGACTAGAAAGAGAGTAGAGGTCTATAGTTTATGATCTGGTGCTAAAGTATGGAAAAATCTGTGTAGGACTGGCATCTGTCAATCCTCTGTGAGCAATCGAATGGGATCTGATAGATGGTGTAATTCAGGGACTTCAGATGTTATGTGATATGGCTCGGAATATAAGTCATCGATAACCTGAATGTGGTTTTTTCTTACTTGAAAAAACTTTAGAGAGTTACACTCTAGTTTTACTGTTTTAGATGAAATGTTTCTCATACTCATGTTAACCTATTTTTATTCATTTTTTTGGTTATACTACTCTTACTTCCTCTATCTTTTTTCTATCCCATTTTGTTCCTTCGTTTACGCATATTCATTCGGCACTCTGTTTATATTAATATTTATGTGCTCAAATACTTAATGATAATAATCGTTGTAAATATATAGCACTTGGTATCATTTTATTTGTGGGAATCAACAGTTTGATCCAACACTGTTAAAGATAGTATCAATAAAATGCACATTATTTACCTGTTTACTTTAAGTATAGTAAATTTCATTTCTGGTCTCTTGGTTCATACTAGAAATCTAGAAATTCGTTTACAGAATAATATCTGTTTGTCAAGTGCGTGAACAGTAAATCTCATCAATTTTTCATTTCGTACTAGATACCTCAATGAAATCACATGCAGCATGTTAAATATTGTCTGTCAAATCATTCTGAGTTACACAAGCATTTTGTTTGAATAAAGTGTAGCAACAATGTGAAAATTTTCGAGATAATTAAAAAATTATCCCAGTTGGATATTCTTAAGCAAACTAAGTGGACTATGTGGGTTTTTGTTTATTACAACTGCACTGTTTAAAATTCACTTTGTGGTTCAAAATTTAAAAGTTTACTTCCTATGAATTACTGTTTACACTGGATATTGTGTAGCATGTTATTAAGCGTGTGATAACTAGTTGAAAAACTTGATTAAGTGAGTGAGTTGGAATAAGAAAGATATCTTTTATAAATATTTCACTTTATTTAACATGATATGACTGGATTTCAAAAGTGGTATCAAGAAAGAATACTACACACTTAAACACAATTGCAAAATATACCACTAATACATGCACATGGTACACATTATGATCAGAATTATTTTTCGTATAACTGTATAACGACTGTAAACATAATAACATCAGTGAGAGTCCTTTTTTAGACAAATGTACAGTTTTTTATTTCTTTACTCACTTAAACACAAGCAAAGGCATTAAGGGGAGTCAAAACATTAACTACACAAACATTTGAATTATGTGTGCATTGGGTGATTTCTGGATGCTAGAACCGAAGCAGGCGATTTTATAGGGAGGCCAACCTCCAAGCCTCCAACCTAGAGGTCTAATCCACAAGGCAATATAGCAACGTTAAGAGATGCGGTTTAATAGCCGCTCATCACTAACAGCAGCCATATATACCATTTGTTCTCTCCCGATTCGAGATCACATATACAATAGTGGTTTCGAACCAGGGTTTTCCGACTCTTATTACTGAATCGTTTGTAGCCACTAACATGGGCGTTCTCTGTTTGTCCTCTAGATTTTGTAAGTAACATACCTACCATGAGAAAACAGTGAATCAAACCTTTCTGGTGGTGGCTATTATCACTTGTTCATCTGAAAGCTTTTGGAGAAGAATAGCTGACTTTCTCCACTTTCGACCATACCAGAGCATAATAGTCGTATAAATTTGTTAACGATTAATCAGACAATCGTTATGATAACATTCTAAGATTTATGGATAAATTTCATATGGTGCCACTAATAAACCAGATATGAGAAATAGTGAGGACTCTAACTTTTAGTCTAGTAACTGAAGTGATTAAATATCCATGTATTTTATTTTATTCAATAATTTCAACTGAGAACTAATTACACAAGCCACAAACTAAAACCGTACATTGTCTTTTAATATACTGCGTAAAATGTTTCAGGATTTTTGGCACAGACCGGGACTGTCAGAAAGAATAGTTAAAAAGTAGTGAATGGGCTGTAATTGTTAATCGAAGCAAAATATTATAACCTCAGCCAATATTGCTGTGATACTGATTTATACTCATATATATATTTTTCACAAAAACTGACAGAACGGGGGACGAGACGGAAAATCAATCTGTATCTTGTTACATACACGTTCAGTGAATACGTTTACACTGAGAATTGAAATAAAACATAGAAATGTATAGCTTTATATTTTATAAAAACCTACAATTTTTTAACGACTGAGTCTTGTTACAGATGATCAGATTGTTTATAGCTGACTAAACATTATTGTATCTGAAAACTGTAGTAAGACAAACAAACCAATAAAAGTGAACCTTGTAAGATAGTGCATTAATGTGTATAGACGTAAGCTATGATTATTTCCCATCAACATAGTAACATGAGATTAGTGATAATCAGTTGAATAATCTAAATTGAACTGCCGACGGGAAAAACAAGAATAAAAGAGTCATTGGAAAACAATAAGTAAAAGCAGAAAATAAAACTATGAAAAAATACTTCGCCCGAGGTTTTTGAAAGTAAAGGAATCTATCTATTTTCACCACTGCTTTCGAATTTCAGCCAAACCGTCTGAGTCTTTCAACCAGAATGCTTGGAGACTTAAAAGCGGTTCAGACTGATATTTTACGAATTCGTGAACTGATATTATTAAAAACTACTTTCCACCAGACTATTGTAACTTAGTTCATCATAGTTACTGACCAGATTAGTCTCAACATAGGAAAACAAATTTCCATTATTTCAGATGCTATTCGTGCTTAGGGTTGATATTATCCAGAAACAGTAAGGGTTTGTGCAAACAACCTGGTTTCTAATCAATTTATGTACATGGAACACTAGAGTGGCCTGCTGATCAAACTACCAAACTATATTTCCGAGTCCCTAGATAGAAAATCAAGATTTTCTGTGGGGAGAAAGGTAATCATAACTCCATCTTTCGTCAAATGCTTAAAAACCATCATGTTTATTTAAGGTCAAAAACCGCCTTCATTCGGAATGTCATACATTTGAATTCGTTATTCAGGAGAGACTTTTTAAGATATTCTATGAAAGTAGGTGTGCGTTTAATTCCCTTATTGAAATGATATACAATAAATAATGAACGAAGACTAAAACGGTATAGTTATTTTATTAAATCTTGAACAAGAATAAGAGCAAGGCATTTTGATGCAACGTGTTGTCCGTAGTTAGAAAAGAATGAAAGGACCAAACACACATAAACTTGTGATAAAATAAAAATCAAAAAGTTGTGGTTGTTGCCTAGATATGATTGTAACTCTCGTTAATTTACTATAGCTTTGATACTCATTGTGAACAAGTAAAAGTTAAATTTGAACATCAATCATGAATTTAAAATTTTTTGTGATTGGAACATGGATTTATCGAAAACGGTAGCTTAGTATACGAGTCGAAAGCGTAAGACATTGACAGGAAAGTTACAAATTTGAGCAAACATTTTGGGTTGATTGCCAGTTATGCGTTAAAGAATAATAAAGAATAGTATCAAATTTATTTCCTTCAAACCCATCTAAACAGAAAATATCTAAGTAGATTAACATTTAAACACTTTCTTCAATATACAGAGTTATTCACTGATTTTTAGAAGCGTTATGAACAGGTTAACCTAAGGCAGTACTCACTTTGTTTTTACCAGTCTTTTGAAGCTATAAAACCAAGTAGCTTGAAAGATAATAATAAGTAACGAAATAATATTACGAGACAGTCAAACTTTATTTTTGTGACACAGACAAGGTCTCATGTACAATATCCAATACCCAATATATTTTTCACTAATTAATAAAACAAACTGCTTTCTATTCTCTCTGTACGGTTTCAGAAATTTGGCAATTTCCGGAGAATGGTTATCTAGTATTTTGACTGAACTCGCAATAGTCAGTTGCTAGTTAATGATGAATCTGTTTCCCATGATTTCTTTAATCCTATATCTTTTTCACGAGATAGTATAACGACTAGCGAGCTTCCAGACATGCATGAAGCACAGCTGGTCGGAAGGGAAGAAGATACTCCACACGTTTCTATCAAGTTTCTTCTTAAAGCTATCCACTCAGTGGCTGTGGTCACTTCAACTGGGAAAGCATTCCGAGTCGTGACAACTATT